GTATCATGTGTATTATATAATAAAAATGTTATTCACACACAAAGTAGTTTTTGTTAATATAATACATTTTAAAAACAAAGCGTTTATGTTTAAAACAAAAATTGTAAGGATTTTGCAACAACTTAGCAAAAGATATGTATCATATTATATGTAAGATATTGTTACGCGGGGGACACCGCGTGTGTGCCGCGGGAGCTGTGTAAACGGCGCGCGCTCGGTGCGACTGTCGGTTGCCAGGCGACAACGGTTGTTGTGAGAGAAGAGAATTCTCGGTCGCGGATTCTGTCACGACGTATTTGTAAATCCGGTCGCATTCTTTAATTATTATTGTACCTTGAGCCATAATAAAGTGTTGATCAAAGAGCCGCGTTCTCTCATTTCCGCGGACGGTTGCGCGAATCGCGGAGCTTGGCGACGGAGACGAGTCGTTCTCACCGCGAACGTATATAATGCAATGTATGCAACTAAATAGTAAAATACGTTAAATGACATCTCTAACGTTTAAAAGACATAACACACAAAAACATATTTGATATATAATCTTGCTACTTACAAAGCAATACAATTATTATTCTCGTAATAATGTAATATTATACATAAATGGAATATATTGATAATATATATATATATATATTATTGTAATATTGTATTATAATATGTAATATTACTAGTATAGTGCAATTACTGTGATATTTCTGTAATATCACGTGCTATGTGAGATGTATACATTATATATGTATAAAGTTATTTATGCGTAAGTAACGATATTAAAATAATATAAAGATATGCACTTTTAATAATTTAATAAGTTCTCATAAACATATATATCTGTTATATATCTATAATATACGTTTAATGGATGTCCATAATAAATTTTATATGGATATTTATAGTAGACATAGCATGGATATGCTATAGTAGATATGCATTAGACATTCGTCCATTGTTCATCATGAAGATGTAACTGTAGATGTTGTATGATTCTTCAATAGACATCATGTTCTCTCTCTCTCTCTCTCTCTCTCTCTCTCTCTCTCTTTCTCTCTCTCTGTGTAAGACTAAAACATTATTCTAATTTGAAATCTATATTTGTGCTACTAGCATGCTTAGCAAAATTGGAACAATGTTGGTAGCCTGCTTTCATGACGACATATCTGCAGCGCTGGCAGTAAATTTGAAACACAGCCAAAATTAAAATAATCACAAAACTAATAAATTTGTATATTAAGGACAAAAAAATATGTAATAATAAGATATTGGTAAATGTTTATCACAACGGACTCAGCCCCGATGACTGTGACTTTGACATATGTTGTCAAGGACATATCGCCTAGTAACAATCGAAAAGTTTTAGACATCGCTTGCTTTTCGTTAAAAAGTTATGATCTTAAGAAGTTGTATCGAGTTTATGTATACTGTCTACATATACTGTCTATATACATTTCAATATGCATGTTTTTATACATAGAAGATGTACAAAGAAAATATTACAAGTACGTTCAATTATTTATTGAATGTAGTCTGCTCATTAGTTCAAAAAAAGCATCAATATGTTAGAACTTCAGGAAAAACTTCGATGAACTAAACAAAAATGCGTGAGAATTTATAGATATGAAAAAAAATAAACAGTGAAGGTGGTAAATAATGTAAACATTCAGAAGAAACATTCACGTACTATGTTCGTGTTGTAAACGTGTAAGGAGGGAAGGGGCTCGGCCCCTCCTCCTGCACCCAAAAAAACCTAACTTTTTGTTTTAATTAGGGAGAATAAGAATATCATGCATATTATAAATATTAATTATGCATATTATAATATTCATGAATATCATGAATATTATGCATAAGAATGTCTTATGCATTTTCCGCTCTCTGGGGAGGGAGCGAGGGAGTTACCATAAAAAGCTGCGAGAGAAGCTCCTGGAAAGCCTGAAGGCTATTACCTCACGGGATTACCTCTCTCATCGCCTCCAAGCTCTTATAAAAGGCTATCTTCTTAATTGGAGCCTAAGCTCCACTGTAGCGGAAAGAAGGGCCACAATCTCCTTCCGTTACCAGTGAGGCTACGTGCAATGAGAGATGTGAGTCCCCGCTCACACCTCTCGTGTAGTTCCGGCGTCAAACCCCCGAAGGAGGACACTACTCCAAACAAAAGTGGAGACTGGACACGCAAACCTCCTTTTAACAACAAGGGCATATCCGCTTTGAAGGACTATCGGTCCTTTGAGGACAGAGACTCCGGCCGATGCTTCTTCGGCTCCAGGGGACTTTCCAGCAGAGCAACAAGGGCGCTCCTCGCCCGCTGAGATTTAGCCCTCGGAGCCACTTTCTTCTTTCCTTTTGCCGCCGCCGTCTTCTTCAATGCGACTAGCACCGGAGAATCGGGCGCGGCGGATCCCGACGCCTGCGTCTCCGGTGTCACGCCTAGAACCGGAGGCTCTTTCGCCGCTATGTCCATTAAGGAGCCCTCACTCGGCGAGCCAGCAGCTGAAGTCGACTGACTCGCGGAGAGGGTTTCCGAAATCGCTTTGCAGTTGCGGAAGAGAGAGCGGGTTTCTATCCTCCCAAAAACCGGCTTTTTGCCGGGGACCAGAGGGACTGAACATGCCGGTTCCTTCAAGCGGTGTTTGGCTGGGCGGCCGAGATCAGCGCAAAGCAGGCACCTCGGCTCCTTCGCCCTGCATGCTTCGGCCAGTGGTCGGGATCGCCGCAACGGTAACATCGTTGCTATCCATTGCAAAAGCGCACATCTGCTGCACATGCGGTGTGCAGGCAGCGGTGACACCTCATCTAGTTCTGGGCGGCAAAGTCTCGACAAAAGTCTGCGCTCAGCCCACCCGGACGCGGCCATCGCGAGCAAGTCACTTGACTGCCGCCACTGGGCAGTGCATCCAGCAGGCGCAGTCCCCCGACAGCGACGCCCGAATCGGTCTGATCCGGACGTCGCACTCGCGACAGCCCCCACTGGCTAGGGCTGCTGCTAACTTCTCGTAGGCAACTCAGTCGTCAAAATCTGCCACCCGGATAGCTCTGGACTTGGCGGATCGCCCGACTCTGACCCAGATTTGCCTTGACAATTTCCTTTATAAGGGAGGCATCAGCCTTGGCCTCTTTCTCGTCGCCGGAGATCTGCAACATCATCCCTCTAGCGACGGTCTTTTTAACACGGATCCCCGTGATGCCGAGCTCGTCCAGCCAGATTGTAGCTTAGCACTGTCGCATGACCGCGGCGTAGGACGCATTCTCTCTTTCCTGTAGGAGAGTCATCACCGCGGTCGTCGACACTCTTGCGCGCGATACCTGTTTCTGCGCCGCGGCCCCCTTGTTTGCGGAGGCAGGCGCACTGCCCTTAGCCCAGGGTTTAAGAGGAGAAGGCACTGGAAGAGGCCGCCCGCTTTGCCTTCTTTCTTACTACTTGGGTCTAGCTATCGGGGTTGGCACCTGCCGAAGTCCCGGGCTCGGCGACGGGACCCGCCGAATTGCCCGGTCGGGTCTTCCCGCGCGACATAGAGCGAGAAAAGGCCTTACCGCCCCAGCTCCGCCGCATCGCGTTTGCAGTCTTCGCAGCTTCTCTGCGAGAAGGCGGAGGCTTTAATTTCTTCAGCCGACGAGCAATAAGCTCGTCAATTTTAGTAAAAAGGAATTTCTCCGCCAGACATTTTCTTGCCGGAGAAGAAAGCAGAGGGGGCATGCAGACCTTTGCCCGCAGCTTCTCCTCGCTCTTAAGCTTTTTCATCTCCGTCCGCAGCTCCGGTTTTCCAGGTACGCCCTGGAGGAAGCCGGTGCAGAGGTGTAACGAGGATCCTCTCGGAGACGCCCGTCAAGCGTCTTTAGGATCACCCTCACATTTGCGGTTGCGTCCTGCAGGGCTCGCACTAACGAGCCACTAAGGTGATTGGAGCAGGACGCGATTTGCTTCACCTTTTCGAGTTTTTTGTGAACTTTGATAGTCACTTCCTTAGTTGGAAGAATGGCTATCTGTTCTTCTAAAAATGGAAGTAATAAATCGTCGGTGACAGGGAGGGAAGATGGTCGCCGGTATCTCCGGATGACCTCAACGTCACTTGGATCGAAGTCCGGATCCGGCTTTGTGGTTCTCTTTTTCTCCGTTTCCTTCAGGCGGCGAGCCCGATAGCGGGCAGCGCGCGCCTCCTCTTGTTCCCAGTCGAGGCCGACAAATTTTCCGTGAGTGGGCCTACATCTCTACGAATGTCCCTTCTTTTTCTGCTTCCTTCTTTGAGAACCCGAAGTCCATCAGAGAAAATAGGAATTCCACTGTACTCGATGAGGAACTCCTGCTACTGCTTGCGCCGCTCCGAACCGACTCGTTGGTCTTTGCAGACGCAGCTTCACTAGAGGGGCCTGCGGTGCACCCCTCTAGCAGTCCATCTTGGAATGACGACGGAGCAAGGCTGGGACGATACTCTCCTCTTGCCGGGACCTGGGAGTCCGGTAAATCTATATTGTTCTTCTGACTCATCTCTATAACTTAGAAGCAGTTTAATTTTGGAGTTTTCCTTCTTCTAGTCTGGTTGACTTCCAAGACTGACAAGGCCGGACTCCCCGGGTTTGTGCTCAGAGTTTTTCTTCCCCTATTTTCTTTCTTAGCTTGTTCGCTCACCGAGTGCCTGTCTGGCTTGGGAGACCATGCCAGGGACCTACCTTAACTTGTGTTACTATAATATTATTAAGAGTAAATGAAGTTTTTTTTTCGAGGGAAGGCAGGAGAAGGAGCGAAGTCCTTTCTTGCTTGCATGTGTACGATAGTGTGTGATGCAAATGAAATATTTACTTCTTAAAAGTATATATATGGATAAAAAAATAAAAGTTTATTTCAGAAATTTATTTTGTTCATAACTTTTTAATAAATAATGAGCAACGGCTAAAACCTTTCGATTGTTACTTAGAGACATATCCTTGACAACATATGTCAAGGCCAAGGTCATCGAGGATGTGTCCGTTTTTATAAACATTTACCAAAATGTTTTCTTCTTTTAATACAGGATCGCATGTGAAGAGACCACATCCGTGTGAACAGAGTTCGTGTTATCCTGCGACTGGAAACTTATTAATCGGCCGCAAAAATAAACTGAGTGCTTCATCGACATGCGGTCTAAAGGGTCCGGAAAGATTCTGTATTGTTTCACATCTTAAAGAAAGAAAAAAATGTTTCTTTTGCGATGCATCGATACCGAAACAGCAACACAATATTGAAAATATTGTCAGCGGGTAAATCTACAATTTTCTTGCAATAATTGCCATATTATAGAAAATAAACTATAATAAAAAATTTTAAATATTAGAAATTGGGTAATAATGGATTGTAATGAGATATTAATTATTATATAATTAAATTTAAGAACGTGGTGGCAAGCCGAGAATGGAGTAGAAAATGTTACGATACGCTTTGACCTCGAGGCTGAGTTTCACTTTACACATATTATTATTCGCTTTCAAACGTTTCGACCTGCTGCCATGCTGATCGAAAGATCATACGATTTTGGAAAGACTTGGCAAATATATCGGTACTTTGCACACAACTGCGAACATTATTTCCCTGGAATACCTATTTATCAACCTCAAAGTTTGACGGATGTCATTTGCGAAACACGATATTCGGCTGTTGCACCATCCACTGGAGGTGATGTAATTTTCAGGTAAAACATAATATTAAATACACTATTTAACAATTAGTAAACTTTGTGTACGTGTGCGTGTGCGTGTGTGTATCCATATACAGAGTTTAAAAGAAGAGTAAGATATTTTAGGAAGATATAGAAAGAGTATATTTCTCAAAAATATACTAACTATATATTAACTTAAAAAATTTATATAAAAAAATAAATTATTGAAATATTTTTCTATCAACAAAAATTTTTCTCAAATAAATAGAACAATTTTAACAAATATTTGCAAGTAAGCCATTTCTTAAATATTATTATTTTTAATATTTTTTATATTAAAAAAGTTTTGTATTTTATGATTTTGTTTTATATATTTATTTTTTTATAATTTATGCAAAAACAACACAGCTATTACCTTATTTTATAATAAAAAATTTTCAAAATAAATTTTTTTATACTTACATAGGCTCTGAAAGAAAGAATCTTATGTTTTTTCTACACACTTAGATTTATTCTGACTGCAACGCAGACTTACTTGTATGCAATGTTGTATCCTGATAGGAAAACATTTACAAAATTATGTGATGAAATCTTGCACTAAAATTGTAATTTGCAAGTATACAGATATATTTTAGGAAGATGTAAAATTGATCTTTTATAAAATATTTGTAGTTGTTTGCAAAATTACTTTCCAAATACTATTTCGCCAAAAGAATAACGATATGGCGAATCATCTTAGCAGTATATTTGCAAACTTAATTTCTTAAAGAAATTATCTAATAATTGAGAAAAAATTTCAGCTATGTGATGTTTAAAATATGTAGAAATATAGTTGCATATGAAGAAATCAACTTAATTCATGTATATACTTATGGAAATGCATAACGACCTTTTCAAAATTTTTGACAAATATTATTTACAAAATTTTATTTTGACAAAACTGTTGCGTTATGGCGTATCATCTTAGTGCAATCATTGCAGGATCGTCGTTATTCATGATGCCATTTTTGTGCAATGTTTTCACAATTTGCTTATTAGACTTTGTTTTAAGTTAATTAACTCTGCATATCATTAAAGCCTATTTTGTCCACTGCTGAACATAAGTCTCTCTCAATAATTTTTATTTGTTTTGATTTTGGGCATCCTGAATCCAATTTGCAACTATTCGTTTTATGTCGTCTGTCTAACGAGTTAGTTAACGTTTTCTGTTTTTGTCTTATCTGAGTTACTCCATAATTTTGGTCGATTTTTTGTTAGACATCCTTGCGATATGTTCGGCCCAGTTTCATTTGAGGTAGGTTTCATTTGAGGTAGGTTAGGTTAGGTTAAGTTAGGTTACTTTGTTTTACTACGTCGGTGATCCCGGTTCTTTTACAAATTTGTTTATTTAAAACTTTATCTCTTAATGTGATTCCTAGCATAAAGTGTTCCATGTCTTGAACTACTTCAATTTTAATAAACTTTATTGTTAATAAACTTCCGTGTTAAAGTTTCTGAACCATAAGTAAGAATGTTGGATATTAATTTATCGCATTTTGGCACAACCGATACTTTGTTTTAAAATTAAAAAAAACAAAAATTTGATACTACTGTTAGCGAAATAAGTGATGCAAAGCAATTCGTGCAATTTCGTATGTATTCGTAAAAAATCGGAAGTAAAATTCGGAAATGCGAATCGATAAAGAAGAAATTATATGTAGTCAGTCTCTCTCTTTCTCTCAGTCGATCCTTCCATTAATAACACAGCCACACAAAAAAAAAAAATTTCTTTGGCCTGGGGATCAGACCATGTTTATTATATGTTTTTGGGGTCGCTGAATCCGAATCCGAGGTCCATTAAACCC